TATTCAAGACTTACATATTGAAGTATGTTTGACAATGTTCCTCGGTGCTCCTCTCCATAAGTTAACAGAGACATTATAGAAAATTGAGATTGGTGTAAAATTATGATGAGAAAGAATAAATAAAGATTGAGTATGATGTAAATTTTGAAAAAATGAGTAGTATTTATAGAGAAAAAATGTAGGGTTTTTATTCAAAAAATTCAATGGAAACCATAAAATGGTTGGGAGTAATTACTCTGCATGCATGCTGTGTACGTAGATTGTGCTGCATGCACAGCTTTATAGAGTCCGCCTACTCAATGGGCGAAACCCTTTGCATTTTCTGACACGCCGCAGATACAATGGGAGGACATGTTACTTTTTGTCTGCCATCCACGCATTTAATGGGCGGAAGCGTGCAATTATGCCTGCCGAGGATGCATGAGCAATGGGCGGAGCCTGTAGGAACATCAATGCTTCCGCTTCTGCATTGGGCGGAACCCTTTCACAATGTAATGGCACCACTTCTGCATTGGGCGGATGAGTTAATGTTATCAGTTTAACCACTAAATTCAGTTCTTCCTGCATTTATTTATTACAACATATCTACTAAACACAAAATCTATTTCATTTAAATACACTTCTACCTCCTACTTTTTTTCATCAAGCCAACCCATCTAAAAAACAAATTTCTCCTACAATTAAGATCTTATTCACTAACAAATCAACATGTCTCAAATACCTCAATATATAGTGGATGCTCATTACAATGGAGAGATCCTTATCTCTGATGAAATGGGCATTATATTCGAAAATACCGATATATGCCGGTTCAAATTAAGTAGAAATGTGAAGTTTGAATATTTGAGGGAGAGGATACAAACAAGGATGCAATCTGGAGCTGTCTCACAAATTATATATCGAAATGCTGTTAATTTCGGTGTGAACCAGGTGAAATATGTTCCACTGAAAATCCGAGATGATGATGATGTGAAAATGATGTTTTACAACCATGAATTATCTGGGTTACATGCGATAGATTTATACATAAAATTTCAACTTTCTCAACAATCTCAAATCTCACAAGTGGCCAATCCCAATGATGCTGAGCCCGTGTCCATAATTCCCGAGGAAGTCATTGTCGAAGATGACGAAGAAGAGGAGACCGAGTCACAAGCTGATGATTTGTTCACTACTTTATTTGAAGACGGTGGACATGACGAGGCGGATGCAATCAACGAAACTGAACAACACATTCCACTTGAGAATGTCTATTGTCCACCCGCCCACATGACCACTCTGGAAACAGCTGGAGACGAATCATCCTTTCAATGGCCCAAAAATCCTCGTCTTCTGCTGGAGGATGACATAGCTGTTGGGAACCAGTTCAAAAACAAATCTAACCGTGTCTTTGCGATATCCAGGTACCATATGAAACATGTCGTTGATTTCAGGGTTACGTGTTCTGACACGAAGAGATATAAAATTTGTTGTAAGCGTAGTGGTTGCAACTTTCGTCTAGTGGCATCCTATAGGAAATGGAGCGACCTTTGGGAGATAGGAATCATGGAGCCCCCACATAATTGTTCAACGACCATCTTTAATCAGGATCATTGACAACTAAGCTCTCAACTGATGAGTGAACGATTAATGCCTCTTGTTGAAAAGGATCCATCCATCAAGGTGAGTGTATGTATTAACGAAATTGTTTCTTTTTTCAAATACACTCCATCTTACAAGAAAGCATGGATTGCTAGAAACAAAGCAATCGAACAAGTGTTTGGTAATTGGGAAAAGTCATACAATGAACTTCCAAATTACTTGTTGGCCCTTAAGAAGTTTGTTCCAAGCACTGTAGTAGAAATGCAAACACTACCGGTATATACAGATGACGGGACTATTATTGCTGGGAAACAAATCTTCCACCGACTATTTTGGGCTTTCCAACCATGCATACGTGGCTTTGTATATTGCAAGCCTTTACTACAGATTGATGGTACCTGGTTATATGGAAGGTACAAAGGTACACTACTAATGGCTGTAGCACAAGACGGAAACAACAATATTTTTCCAGTTGCCTTTGCCTTAGTGGAAGGTGAGACGGCAGATGGTTGGGGTTTCTTTCTAAAAAACTTGAGAATGCATGTAGCTCCTCAACCTGGCTTGTGTTTGATTTCTGACCGACATGCATCTATCGAAAGCGCTTATAACAATCCTGAAAATGGTTGGAATAACACTACATCTGTCCATGTGTATTGTATCAGGCATATTGCGCAAAATTTTATGAAGGATATCAAGGACCGTATCCTCCCGAAAAAAATAATCAACATGGGTAAGTACTTTTTATGCAAACATTACATGCTCGTTAATAGTATACCATTATATTAACCAATATTTTTTTTAACATGTAGGGTATGCGCTGAACCAACCAACATTTAAATATTATCGTAATGAAATTGGGATGGCTAATGGTGATGCTTTGAGGTGGATAGACAAAATTCCCGTTGAAAAATGGACGAGGGTCGTCGTTGGGGGCACATGACAACAAACCTTGTCGAGTCACTAAATTCCGTATTTAAAGGCACTCGTAATCTCCCCATCACATCGTTAGTAAGTGCAACATACTATAGGATGGGAACACTCTTTGCTGAAAGGGGTGCAAAGTGAAGTGCAGTTTTGAATTCTGGACAAACATTTATAGAACGGTGCGTGAAGGTGATGAAAGAAGAGACGTCTAAATCCGCCACACATCAGGTAAGCATTTTTGACTATAATAATAACACTTTCAGTGTGAAGGAGACAATTAACCACGGTGAGGGGAAGCCATTGGGGCGTTACAAGGCCAACCTAATGGAAGGATGGTGTGACTGCAGAAAGTTTCAAGCATACCGTGTTCCTTGTTCACATGTTATCGCTGCATGTTCTGTGGTGCGCCAAGACGCATTTCTTCTGTTGTCTGACGTTTACAAGGTTGCGAACTTATTTGGGGTTTACAACACGAGCTTTCCAGTTCTACCATACGATGAGTATTGGCCCACTTATGAGGGAGATCAAATTTGCCATAATCCAGTTATGCGGAGGAACAAGAAAGGCCGTCCCATGAGCACCCGTATTACAACAGAAATGGACGCATATGATAAATTGGAGAGAAAATGCACATTGTGTCGTCTTCCAGGTCACAACCGAACGCGATGCCCCAATGTAGGAACTAGTAATAATTAGTTATTCATTTTGTTATCAATCTGCAAAGTTGTATGTATAATGACACCGAGTTATTATGTTTCATTTCACTAATACTTCTGCATTTAATATAAATAACAATTCGAAAAAACAACACATAAATTAAGATACTGAGACGAATAGTAGAACTTAGCAACAACATTAAACGTAAACAACATCAACATGTTCAAAGAAGGACATAACCATTTCTAAGATATTACAATCAGCAACACAATATCTTTTTGTTGAAGCATCATCATAAGAACACATGCGTCATTGTGAACAAGTCTCCAAGAACGAGTGAGTCCATTTAAGCCAGGCACCGTAACTAACCTCTCTATTTTCCGAATCTTTTCACCTGGGGCAATTTCTTCCCCTAACCATCCCTCCAAGTGCCTATGCAGATGCTCAAATGTCTGCGTGTTCAACAATTTGATATTCATCGGAGGCTTTACTGGAGAAAAAATAAGTTCTGCGTCTCTTTTCATATATGGAAACATTGAAAACTCCCCGGATGTTGAAGACACTTTTAAGATACAACTAAAGAAAAATAATTTAAGTGTAGCTTGGATCATTCAACATCAACGATATTTATAGTTCACAGCAAAAATTTTAAATTAATAAAATAATAAAACCCTCCGCCCATTAACGTGGAGGAGTCGTAAATAAATAATAAAATTACGAAAGATTTCGCCCATCGCACTGGCGGAACCGTACTGAAATAATAAAATAATAAAATGAATAAAACCCTCCATCCATTGCAGGGACGGAGCCGCACTGCAATAATAAAATAACATGACCCTTTCTATGATTAATATTTTAACATTGATTTCTTATTTAATAATAATTTTAATTTATTTTAAAAATTACATTAAATTAAATTTTATTTGTATATTAATATTTTAATATTTTAATAATTTCATTAAAATGACTTAAATTTGAATATTTCAATTTCATTTTATACAAATATATTGATTTCTTATTTAATAATAATTATAATTTATTTTTAAAATTACATTAAAATAAATTTTATTTGTATATTAATATTTTAATATTTTAATAATTTCATTAAAATGACATAAATTTAAATATTTCAATTTCATTTTATACAAATATATTGATTTCTTATTTAATAATAATTTTAATTTATTTTTAAAATTACATTAAAATAAATTTTATTTGTATATTAATATTTTAATATTTTAATAATTTTATTAAAATGACATAAATTTGAATATTTTGAATATTTCAAATTCATTTTATAAAAATATATTGTTTTTTTATTTAACAACAATTTTAATTTATTTTTAAAATTATTTTTAAAAAAAAAACGTTGCTCACACAGCTCCGCCAATGCAATGGGCGGAAGCTGTGTATTTTTAAGACCATCCGTCCATCCATTGGACGGAGCCTCCTAATATCATTTTTTTTTTGAAAATGTGATATATTGGGAATATTGGTTGAAATGTGTGGTATATTGGGATATAGTTGTTAAAAGGGGTGTATGTTGGTAAAAAATTCTTTAATTAATATATAATTTTACATTTATGTATAAGATTATTTATAATTTAATATAATTTATTTTATATGTTTTAACCTAAATGTAAGAAGAAAAAGTTTTTTTCCAATGTACCCAATTATTCATCCCCGCTTCGTCGAAACCACCGCCATTAGTCCACCCAATCACGAAGTGACTGTTTTGGCCCTCTACAGCCGGCAAGGATAGATTGAAGGTAACAACAAAATTGTATTCATATTCAATATTTGTTACTTTCATTCAATTTTCACTACGTCAATCAATCATGTTCAACTTCAATAGAACCCTAATCTATTTCAAGACCTTAACTTCACCACTAAACCCTAATCCTCTTCTCCACCACTACCCATCACTATTTTCTCTCCATTTCTGCACTAAAACTTCCGATTCAACCTCCTTTGCAGAATCCTACCTCATCCACAATTTCAATTTCTCCCCACAATTTGCTGCCAAACTTTGCTTCACCCACCGTCTTCGATTCAAAACCACCCAAAAACCTGACTCTGTTTGCAAATTCTTCACAAACCACGGTTTCTCAGACACCCAACTTCACAATATGATTACCAAGGTACCTGACCTACTTTCCTGCAACCCCTCCAAAAGGGTGTTACCAAAGTTTCAATTTTTACTCTCCAAAGGTGCTTCCAACTCCGACATTGTTAACCTTGTCACTAAGAGCCCTAGACTCTTGTCTCCTAGCTTGAAGAATCATATAGTCCCAACCTATGAATTGGTTTATAGATTCTTGCAATCAGACAAGGAAATTATTGCGTGTGCCTTTCAGAATCCAGATTTACTCTGTGCTCATCTTGTGCCGCGTAACATTACAATGCTGATTGAGAATGGAGTGTCGGACTCGAATATTGCAAGAGTGCTTCGGATTCAGAGTCGGATATTCAAGGTACGTGACATGCTGAAGTTTGTGGAGGAAGTGAAGAATTTGGGGTTTGATCCTTCGAAAATAATTTTCTCAATAGCGTTGATTGCTAAAACATCGGTAAGCAAAAACTTGTGGGAGAAAAAAGTTGAAGCCTTTAAGATGTGGGGTTGGTCGGATGAAGATGCTTTTGAAGCATTTAGGAAGAAACCTTATTGTATGTTAACTTCTGTTGATAAAATAAACTCAGTGATGAGGTTTTGGGTAAATCAGTTGGGTTGGGATGCTATGGCCATTGCCAGAGCTCCGTATATTTTATCATTAAGTTTGGAAAAAAGGATCATTCCCAGGGTCGCTGTTGTGCAGTTTCTTCTTAGTAAAGGTTTGACAAATAAGAATGCAAGCTTAACTTATCCGTTGGTAGTGTCTGAGAAGATGTTTCTGGATATGTTTATAAAACGTTTTAAGAATGAGTCTTCTTATCTATTAAAGTTGTATGAGGAAAAACTCAATCCTGCATACACCAGGGACAACAAGACTTGCATGCTGTGATCAGATTTCTAGATCTATAAATACAGCTATAATGGTAGTTGTGCACTTGTGAAGATCTGCCATACATGAATCAATATCGATGTTGCACTTGTGGTTTTGGATTTGTGGAGCACAATTATATAATATACTTGGAAGTTATCATTGTTCCACATACAGGGCAGGTCTTACAATTATACTTGAATAGGTTGCTTGCAAATAGCAAAACTCCAAGTGTAATCATGGCTGCTGTGAAACTGTGGAGACCTCTCAAACTTCAATATTGAAGATACAAACCTACTATTGTGGTTGTGAAGTACAATTATTTAAAACACTTAACAGTCATGTGAGGTCTAACATAGCACTTGATTTTGTCACATTTTGACATCTTGTTATAAACTGCCATTGACCTTTTGTCCTTGTTCTGTATTTTATGTGATGTCTTCTGTTGGCACTCTAGGTTTTTGAGCTATTTATAGGTATTATTTTTGTAATTTAGCATATTTATTGGTTGTTCTTTTCAATCAGGTAGCAGATTTGCAGAAATTGGTTTCAATACTCCTAAAGTTAAGGTTTGGAATGTTAGCATTAGCATAGGTGGATCTCATGCTTTTTAACAGCTATAGCAAACAGTATGGTGTATATTAGTAGTTGAAAAGAATGTCAGTGAAGGTTGAAAGATATTTAAAAAACATTCGAGAACATCTACATATGTTAGGAATTAAGGTAAGTTTGATAAAATTAGGGTGACAACATAATTTTGTTGAAATGTTGTATCAAAATTATGATGACTTGAATAAGGTGTTTAAATCGAATTTTATTAATCAATAATCAATCTAATAATTATAGGTTACAACCAAATTTAATCATTAGAAAGATGAACTAGATGATTTAGTCTATTCCAGACCTTCACTTTTACACCAAATTGTTATACGCAGATAAAGTATAACAGCATGCAATTTTACAGTGATAAAAACCCAAACATGCAAACTATACCAAAAAAAAAAGTAATTAAAAAGAGAGATAGAGAAGAGTGCTATAACAACATGCAATTTTACAGAAGTGATAAAAACCTAAACACGCAAACTATACAAAAAAATAATTAAAAAGAGAGATAGAAAAGAGTGTATCAGTGTTTATATTGGTTCAATGCATTTGTCCTCTCTTTGCGCCTAATTCAATTTTCAAAGACAAACCATTAAAAATTCGTAGTCTTCTACTACTTTGACAATTGTTACGATGTCTGTTTATTAAGGAACTGGATGTTGAAATTAAACAAAATTTAAAAAACTCATCTACATTTCTTCTATTGTACATAGCGTACACAACTAAAATCCCCAAGACTTCAGTCTTGAAAGTCCTCTTATATGATCCAAGATTCGCTTTAAGCTTATGTTACGCAAAGATCTTCACTTGATCCTATCGGTATCTTGTTTGAGCCCTTAGCCTTGAAGGAACAAAACTTCCAACTTTATTTTGTAGCAACCTTTACTCAATTCTACCGAAATCTTCACTAGAGAAATATCCTTTTTTTACTTCTGTTTGTGTTGACAATCTCAATCACACCATACAATTCGAATCTTGATTTGCAAGTCAAAAACTTCCAAGACATTAACAACGATTGAACCTCCTTTACGATCTATATCACACACCTTAAGAAAAGAGAAGCAACCAAAACATAATAATTTTGTTAGAGGTTGAAGATGAATTTAAATGGAATAAAAAATTGTGAATGAGTATTCTTTGAAAGATGTTTTAAAGGTTTTTGAAAATCTTTCAAAGTATGATGTTTTGTTGTGAGCTACAGAGAGACAATTATTTATATATGTGTTTGAGATTATGCACTAAAAAAGAGAAAAGTATTTTTTGATTTTAGTCAAGAACAACGAGTATGATTTGAGTCGAATGAAAAAAAAATCGAATCAAGAACTAAAATCTCGAAATTTTCCATTTGATTTGAATCAATGATTTAACTTATTGAATCGATTCAAAGAATCACATGATTCAAATCATGCTGACAAAATTAAAACTCATATTTTGAAATAAATTATTGATTTGAATCGGTCTTTAGTGTGATTCACATCATTATGCAAATAAGATAAACTTGTGATTTGAATCATGTTGCATAATCAAAACCTGATTTTCACACTTATAAATTGTTTCGAATCATGTATAGACTTGATTTGAATCACTCTTCTAAAAATTAAATTTCAAAGAAAATTAAAGTGTATGATTGAACCATGTATTCATGTGTTTGTTAATCCAAATATTCTACTAATTACGATATTGCATTGATTTTTATTTAAAGGTTCGATTTAATTAGGGGTAGTAAAGTGGGCAGCTCGTCCCGTTTAGGTCCGCCAAGCCCGTTCAAAAGTGGTACGGGGCGGGCCAACTTAGGGGTCCGAACTCAAAAGTCAAGTCTGACCCATTTACTAACGAGTTGGCGGACCGACCCGCCTATTTTTTGATTTTTGATTTTACAATTTAATATATTAAATAATTTACAAAAAAAAATCATTACCAAAGAGGCCGACAAAAGATACTTTTTAACAACGCATAATAGAACTTCAACGTGTCTTAATTCCAAACATTAAAAAATAAAATAAAAAAATATCAATTATAATAAAAAATATAACAAAATAGATTCAAGCACAATAAAAAACATATCAAAAATAAATAAATAAACAACACATATAATCTTAATTATTTTTAAAAATTAACTACTAAAAAAACTCAATTAATAATTTGCACAATACAAACAATAATAACAATTACAGTGCAAAAAACATCACAATGCATAAAATAGTATGACATGAAATATAAACACCTGCATTTTTCATTGTTTACATCATATAAACTCTTATATTGATTGATTCCTTAATAGTTATATCATAAATTTGTCACAAGTATACACTAATCAAATCCTTTCTTTTCTTAAAATCAATATCTATTTCTAAAGAAAACATGTGAGTTAATGTATTGAAAACTTAATAATTCTTCATGCCATACATTTGTTCTTTTATTTTAAGTTTTTTCAACCAACACATATATTAGAAAGTTATAGAAAGAATCTTACTATTTTAATTCAATTTGTCTGTATAATAATTTAGAATGCAATTCAATAAATATAATCCTAAGAGAAGAGTGTTGTTTTGATAGTTAAAGTTGTCTTAATTTTAAGTAAAAATTAAAAAGTTTTACCAAAAAGTCCGCGAGCAAAACCCAATTCGTCCCGTCTTGGCCTGTTTTTTTAAGCGAATTAGGCGGGACGGACCGACTTAAGATACCGAGCCGAAAACTTCAACCCAACCCGTCAAAAAATGCGGGTCAAACGGGTTGATCCAACATACCCGGCCCGTTTTTCCATCCCTAGATTTAATGCTACAAAATATGATTTAATGAATTGTGCTCAATTTTAAGATATGGCGACAATCGAACTTAGAGAAGAGTCAATTACAAAAATGGTAAACGATAAAAGATAGTATACGAGACAAACAACAAAACTAAAATCCTAGGAGGCAGAGCAACTTCATAAATCACTATTATCAAGAGAATAACTTATCACACTTGCATAATATTGTATTCAATATTCTCATGGCGGGTCAATCTTATATAAATATTACTCCTAATATTTATACCTATGTGAAGACTATATAACTCTTTATTCATGATAGGTGAGATGTGATCATCAGTCTATCTACAAAACAATTTTTTATGATTTGATACTATTTAGCTTTATAATAAAACTTGACTAAAAATAATATTCTTAAATTTAATTGGATCTCATGATTAAGTCATACTTTATATTTCATCAAACAAATTAACTATTTTATAAACTTTATTATCATGAAAAAATAAACATAATAAAAAAAAAGTCTTAATATTATTAATAGATCATTTAATAGAAGTAACAAATTCTAATAAAACTATTGAGCTCATGTGTTTACACTCATAATTTTTTGTAATATGAGATATAATATAAGATTGTAATGCATGCTTATTTTGGTTGAATTATATTTTGAGTGTCGAATTATACATGTCTTAAGATTTAATGCATTATATGTGCTTATTTTTATATTATAGGTGCTTAGTTTTATACTTAATGCACGGTAAGAAATATCTTATTTTAGTCCAAATATAAGTATTGAATTCAATTTCAGCTCTGTATGGTCTGATATACAATGTATGAGTTTCAACATAAAATTATACACATTTTGTTTGGTTTGATATGCAATGTATCAACTCAAGTTCTATTTAAAGTGTGTATTGGTGAAGAAATCAATCTCAATTTGAATGTTAAACAATTTATGGTTCTGTTTAGTATTGTCTATCAATAAAAAGTGCATTTTTTTAATCAAAATATATTAATAGAGAAAATTAAGGATTCTCTAACCTATTTATATAAGGAGTCGAGCAATACAATTCGACAAAAAGAAAAATTACCGACCAATTGCATTAAGATAAGAAAAATAAAAGATCTTTGATAAACTCATAAAAATTACAATTAGGGTAGATAATTTTACCTATCATAGTCCATCTTTAAACTGTAACTTTAATGTTCCATACGACATCAAGAATATTTCAGCTCTCGTTACGGAATACAATGCCATTCTTTAAAATCCAAATATTTCAGGTAATAGCCAACCAATCACAACCTTCTTTCTCTTTTTTCACCTTCTTAAGTTTACAAAATTTGTACCATTTCATGAAACTTCCTTTCGACTCAATCTCTGGAAAATCCGAAAAACCAATCCACTCTGCTATATCCCTCCAAACCAAGATAATAACATAACAAAATAAGAATGAATGATCCAAAGTTTCATCAGCATTCCCACATGAAATACACTTTTGAGAATCGATAGGAAAAGATATACCTCTAATACTAAGGAGATCCTTAGTCGGAAGTCTATTAATAAGAAGCATCCATCCAAAAGCCTTAATCTTATAAGGGACTCCCATTTTCCACACTAACTGAAAAGCTTTATCAAATTTATCATGAGGACCAAAAGGAATTTTCGGGCCTGCAATAACAGAATAACAAAAGCTGACTAAAAATGACAAATTTTCTTCTAATTTCCATTCGACTGAATTGTTCCCATCCGGGCTGCAATTGGTTCCAGCAAGTAGAAACCGGAGTTGTTGTATATATGGCAGAAGACCGAGTTGCAGAGAAATTCTTTGGGGGATTCCAAAACCACCCCAACACCAAAATCTCTTGATCTACGACCACATCCCTGCTACCGCAACTTACTGAAGCTGCGAGGCACAAAACAACGCTGGAAATTCATCTTTTAAAACGAAATTTTGCATCCACTTCGTGAACCAAAATGCAGTAGTGAATCCACTACGTAACCCGAAACTGCAATTATCTACAATAACATCCATCTTCCTCTTACAGCTTAAGGATAATAAATCCTTCCACCAAGATGATGTAGTAAATGAAACCTTTAAATTATATTCACTTCTAACAACCTGCAAACAAATATCACCATATCGAGCTCGCAAAACATTATACCATAAAGATTTCGAACCTTGTAAAATCCTCCACCTCCATTTATTGAGAAGGGCCAAATTAAAACCCATGATATTTTTAATGCCAATTCCCCCTTTCTCTATAGGAAGACACACATTTTTCCAACTTACCCAGTGAATTCTTCTTTTCTCGTCCGACCCTCTCCACAAGAAGTTGCTTTGAAGCTTAATAATATCATTAGCAACTTTCATCGGTATTTTATAGAATAACATAGTAAAAATAGATAAAGAAAATAATACTGACTTAAGAAGTGTGATCCTTTCTCCAAGATTGAGTAACCGAGTTTTCCAACCCGAAAGACGTCTCTTCATCTTGTCCAAGAGCTTTCTCCAAGTCAAAACCCTCCTCATATTAGAACCAATGGGGATACCAAGGAAAGAGAATTCCTTCCCTTCAATCTTACAAGAAAGAAATGTAGAAGTCGCCTCCAAAAAGTTATCATTAGTATTGATACCAATAAGCTTGCTTTTGTGATAATTGATACCGAGAACCGAAACAAGCTCAAAAGCCCTTAAAACCGCTTTGATTGCCCAAACATGTTTCCAACTCACATTTCCCACCAATAAAGTATCATCTGCAAATTGGAGAATGTCCACCATACTTTTGTCGTTAATAACAAATCCTTCGTACTCATCATTCAACACCGCTTTCCGCACCAAACATGATAATCCTTCCGCTACCAACACAAAGAGAAACAGAGATAGCGGATCACCTTGCCTCAACCCTCTCTCCACCACAAACTCCTTTGTCAGACTACCGTTAACTAAAATCGACATCTTACTTTGGAAGATCAACATTTCCATCCACACCATCCAACTTTGTCATAAGCTTTATCAAAATCAACCTTGAACAAAAGACAACTCCTTCTCTCCTTATTCGCATAATCCACCACTTCATTCACCACTAAAACACCATCAAGAAGTTGTCTACCCGGTACAAACGCACTTTGACACGGGGAAACAAAATAATGCAAAACCCTTTTCAACCTAGCCGCCAATAATTTAGAAATACATGTATACATACATACCACCAAAATAATTGGCCTATAATCATTGTTGTACCCAGAAAATTTCCCTATCTTTTCACAAGACATTTCCCAAGAAGTTTCAAGAGTTTGATCAGACAAGTTCACCTCCTAAGCACTGAGACCACAAATTAGGGTTTTGACTGAATTTGACTGATCATTGACTTTTGACCTAATACGTAATCTAATAGTTTGAAACATAATCTCAAGTACTCAAACACAACATGTTGACCTAATTTTATGGCTCGAATCATTTCTCAGGATCAAAGGTTTGATAGTTGAAATTTGGATCAATTGATGAAAAGTCAACTGATACACAAAAAGTCAAACTTTGACTTTTTGGTCAACATTGAATTTTAAAATTCATAATTCATCAAGACATTTAAGAATATAAAACTTGGTCAACAAGAATCAATAAAGTCAAGAAAGTCAACAAAAGGGCAAGATTTTCAATACTTAAAAAATTTCTAAGTGTTTTTAACCTTGATAACTTCGTTACTTCGTGACAATTTTTCACCAAGATGCAAGATTATTCAAAGAAAACTTTCAACATGAAATTTGTAGATCTTGATGAATTCTACAACTTTTTATTAGAGGGTTGATGTTCAAAAAACGCTTGGATTTGAAAATATAGGCTCATGAAGTCATGATATTTTTGTATAAACACTTAGAGAAATTTTCAACAGGTTTTGGTCAGTTCTTGATCTAACTTCTTGACCAATTTTCATCAAGTTCCAATTTAATTTAGCCAAAGTGGTCAACATTAAAGTTGCATACAATGTTTCAAGCTTTCCAAAACATCCAAGAGCATGAATTTATCATACTTGAACTAGGAGATTCAAAGGCATGAAGTTGGACATCCATTCTTGAATTGCAAGTCATTTTGGTGAAGAACACATAATCCATCTACATGTTATACTGCATAATCTTGTATTGCAGGCATTCTAACTTTAAAATCTCACCATAATTTAATGCTTACACAAACTTTTGAGCTATGGTCCTTTTGATTTAAGCATTGTCCAAGTGATCTTTCCATTTTTGGCACAAAGTTAACATTGCCATATTCTTGCAAAGTAGCTTTAATCACAAACTTGGTTCTCCTTGAGCCTCTAACTTGTTCCTTCTACACAAAATCAGACAAACATGCTTAAAGTATCCAACAACTCTATGAAGCAAAGTACAAATCATTGGAACTATGATCTTCAAGCTTGCTTCATTGACAAACCAACCTAGCCACAACATGTGATCTTGCAAAATTTGATCAACCTTTGTCTTAAAACCTATTGCCTATAAATAGATAGATCATTTTCAAGATAGAAAAAGATAGACAATCCCTCAAAACCCATATACTCTCAAAAAAACCAGAATTGTCCACAAAACCTCCATTTTTAAGCTTTGAAGTCCAAATCTTTGAACCTCTCACACCTTGCAAGTTTTGCACAAACAAACCATCCAAATGCTTCATATACATCATATAGAAGTTGTTCAAACACAAGAACAACTTATGTAACATCACTATCACCATCTTCTAAGCTCAAAACAGTACCTTGCAACTTGACGTGGTTATAGTGATTCAATAATTTTCAGCACAAAGGAAGGACTGACATAGCTTCAAGAAGGTCCAAAGAAGCTCAATCAATCACCACTTCGCACCCGGAAACATCCATACGTGTTCTAAAGCTTTCACTTCAAGAGGTAAGTTTTCTCAAACGGTGATATCCTTATCCATACATCATTTACTTTCATTTTCAAAAGAATAAGACATGATAAATTAAGACATAAGAGCGCAAATATTCAGAAATTTCAAAAGAATGCTTCAGGGGTCCTGACACGGGCGGCCGTGTCACTAGACACGGGCCGTGTTAGGGAGAAAACTTAACAAAAATGCAGGGCAGGGGCTGACACAGGTGCCCGTGTCACACGACACGGCCCGTGTCAAATCAATTGGTTCAGAAACATGCAAAAACAGGCAGACAGGGGCTGGCACGGGCGCTCGTGTCACATGACACTGAATATGTAAAAAATACAAGAAGGGGGGGGGGGGGGGGGGTTGAATTGAAAAACTTAAATCAAAAGGCTTAACAACACAATATTTTTATCCTGGTTCGTTTGATCTCAAACTACTCCAGTCCACCCGTCAAGGTGATTTCGCCTCTCTCCAACGAGGTCTTAATCCACTATTCTCAAAGGATTACAACAGCTACTTTAACAACTGTTAAAGTCTTCTTGAGTACAACCACAATCCGGTTAATCTCAAGGAACTTCTTTTACAAATGATTGAACAAGTGTGTGTTGTTTTTTTCTTACAAAACTGTATATCACAACTGTGATAATTACACAAAATAAGCTTGGAATAAAATGAATTTGCTAAAGCTTTGAATATGTATGGTTTGGATAGCTTGGAAAATTGTTGAGTGCGTATGTACGTGCTTCTTTTCACAAGCAGACCTGTTTATATAGGCAAGCAAGGATACATTGTCCATAAAGCAGGTTTTAATGATAATAACACATTTTCCTTTTGTAGAAGATCTTTGTCTGAAGAAAGCCGTTAGCATTTAATTCTGTCTTGAATAACCAGTAACGCTTCAGAGTCTTCTTTATTGTACCTGCTGATAACGCTTCAGAGTGTTGATGACTTGGTAAAGATGTCTTTGATCAGAGTCAGAGTATATTTGTTTAGGCAAAAATTCTGGTCATCAACCTTCAGCGTATAATCTGGTAGCTTCAGCGTGTAGCACATATTGTTGATCTTCTGATGCTGATTCCGTTCTGATGTTGATTCCATCAGAACTTCTGCATATACAAAACATAATTTTAAGGAGCATAATTGTTCTTTGTATATATCTTTGAGATGATTTATTCTTTGTATTTTGTTATCATCAAAACTCTAATCAAGGGTTATAGAATCAAACTATGTTCTAACAATCTCCCCCTTTTTGATGATGACAAAAACCAGATTTTTCAATTAGAAATAAAGAATAAAAAGTATAGAATTAAGAAGAAAAACTCCCCCTGAGTTGATTACTTCCCTTTAATTTCATGAGTCTTTGAGCATCAGAATCTTACTGTATCTTTCATCAGAGTTTTGTACCTGTTCAAGCTTTTCAGAAGAGAGAAATTAAGTAGATCAGAATGTTTGAGACTTATGTCTCAGTAATCCGTTATTGAAAATATCTGATTCTTTCTCCCCCTTTTTTGTCAGTTATCAAAAAGAACATATAATCAGAGCCAAAAAGGGTTTATATTAAAATTAGAAGCAACGATAAGAGGTTCAGAACAACAGCAATGTAGAAAATATTACAGATAAACAAATTTTAAAACAAAGGAAAATCTAAGAGGGAGGAGGAAGACGCGTTAACAAAGCTTCCAACAAGCCCTTGATCTGGATGTTGGTTTCCTCTTGTTTGGTTAACATGCTCTTGATTTCCGAAATTTTGTCATCCTGTTTATCCATCCTTTCCTGCATAATAATATCATATCTCTTTAGTTCTTCCAGAGTCTGCCTTTCATAGGAGGAAGCTTGAGAATCTTCAGTAACTGGATGCTTCTCAGAGCATTCTGCAATGTCATCTTTTTGAACCAGTTCTTCTGCAGGAATCATCTGCTCTGGAGTATCATTCAGAATGAGATCTTCTGACTCTGGTTGAATTTTGTCTACTGGATGATGTTCTGACCAGGGAGCATTGTCCAGAGGGAGAACTTCTTCCTTGAGCAGTTGGATCAGAACTTGA